TTTTACAAATCTGGACTGGCTGGCCCTTTCCACATGGCAAGTTGAGAGGGAACCATCGCTCGAGTCGTTGTGAGTGGCGTTTGTTTACGTGTAGGAAAAGCTAGAGGCCCGACTCCATCGTACCAAGACACATTTCTCGAGAAAATAAATTCAACCATCTTTTGCCATATTTCTCCGCGGCGTTGTCATACCGGTACTTTAGGGCATATCTCCTAGTCGAGTCCATTTGTCATCATGGCTACTACCAAGATCAACTATACTTCATCCGATATTTGTGTGATATGCCTGGAGCATCTGCTGTGTGTATCACCCGAAAATAATGACACGGAAACAATGACGAATGAGCCAATGGCCGATTTTGGCGCGGCGGCTCCTTGTGGGCATCCAGCTCATGCATCCTGTTTCGAACAATGGTCCTCTTACCAAAAGAAGGGAGCTGGAAATGGTAATAAGGGGGGTGTCCCCTGTCCGACATGTCAGAAAGAGACAACTTCCTTTGTCAAAATCTATCTCCGTGCGTCGCAACAAGAGGAAAACGACCGAAATGAAGAGGAGGACAGCCACAGTGATGAGGAAAGTAAACTGAAGGAGGAGGAGGAAGGAACTGATGACTCTAGTTTCGTGTCTGCAAAAGCTGGTGACACTGCATCCGCAGATAATGACAACAAGAGTTCCTCTTCTACCTTGGAATCTTCTGCTTCTTCCTTCCTCCTCTTCTCAGCCGCACCACGACAGTTAAAACCAACAGCAACAAGAGCAGCAAAGCATCCAAAAAGAAAGTCAAACCAAAGCAACAACAAGCACACAAAAAGGTCCAATGGTACAAGAAACGATGGATGGGGAAATGCGAAGAAGTCAAGAATCTCAAACTGGAGGCTCAGAATCGCAAAAATTGCCATCATAAGGATTTGTTGGACTTGGAACGCTCTCGGTTGATCAACTATGGACTGGCCAAGGAGCTGGAACGCACCGAAAAGGCAGGACGGATCCATCGCAATATGTGGGCGGTCGCTTGTTTCACGGTGGGGTGCGTCGTTGGTCACAAATTCCTGGCAATGTGAATTGAATCAGTTTGGTGGCAAGGGCTTTGGGGAAGAATAGCCAAACACAAGCAATCCGCAGCAAGAGATGCCTTGCTTTACTCCTCGCTGATCTTATATCTATCGGCAATGGAACTCTCGAGTGCAGGCTCACGATTGCAGCCAGCCAGCATGAGTTCCCGTGATCATTGTTTGTAGTGATCTTACCAAGACTTTTGTTCCCCTGATACCGCTGGATGGAGACGATGCAATGTAGCGTATAAAGACAACAATTAAATGTATTATAGACCGATCAAGTTACAGCAAGTCGTCGTCTTCCTCGGTGGCAGCAACTTCTTCGTCATCGTGCCGCATGATATTGCAGGGTGACAACTCCCGGGTGAATCCAAAGTCAAAGAGTTGTACAGTATTGTCATCAGTAACCCCAATGTTCGTGGGTTTCGGGTCGGTATATCAAGCCACGTTCGTACATATTTGCAATGCCGCCCAACTGGAGTGCCAAGTCCAACTCCCCAGCAATTGCCGGCGGGGATTGTTGGTACCTGGTACTGCATGAAAGAGCCGTCAGGTTGTCTTTCTTGCATTCTTCTTCCAAACTGAGTCTCATTACTAATCGCCGTATGTCGATACACTGGGTTAACTCAATTCAATTCTACTTCCTTTACTTGTTTACATCTATTGCTTATTGTATGGAATGGTTGGTTGGTTGACAAGAATATGAATATCAAATCTATGGACGGTTGTGTCGCAGCCTCTCGGTAAACGGCATTTCATGGGATGTATGTGTAAGTAGCGATATAGCGACAGCTGGAAGATATGAATGGAGGTTGGAATACGTATACACAGGTTGGTAGATACATGTAGCTTAGAAAGCTGGAACAGAGGATATCCACTGTGGGCCATCATCCGAGAACATGTCACCATTATAGGACTGTCTTCGTGTGGCCTTTCCGGTGGAGGAGGAGTTGGGAGGAGTCCATTGCCATGATAGGATTGCCTCCTGGATGGCTTCATGGTGGCACTCTGATGATGATGCCTGGGTGGGAGGCCGTATGGGACTTGGAGGACTTGAATATCGCCGAGGACCCTTGACTTGCCGTTTGGTGCCGCTGGGGCACTGGTAGTCCTCTCCAATGGAGGAGATGGCGGGCAGCGCTCTTCCGCACCTTGTAGCTGCTGTGCTCGTCGATGCGTTGGTCTTCCTCAGCACTGGGCTGGTTCTCCTTGTGCGAGTGGTCCGCCGATGTCGAAAAGGCCTCTTCCAAAGTCACTTCAAAGGTTCTTCTGTGGCCATGGTCGCGTTTGACAAGTCCGTTCCCTGACGCTCAATGGTTGGAACCACATTGTCTTCTTCTTGAGAGCAGCCACATGTCATCAACAGTCCACCAAGGAATCCTCTTCGTCTTCTTCTCGAAGAGGCTTCCATCGGACCCGATCGCAACGACAACGTCTTGTCTTGCCCTGTGAGAATCTGGAATCCCAGTCGAACGTCTCTGGCAAAGTCGAGCACCAAATCGACCATCTCGCCACCGCACAAAGGACTGGTGGCTGGAGTGATAATGTGTTCTTCTAGTTCTTCCTCTGAAACTTCCATTCCATGTCGATCCAGCTGCTGGGTTTCCTCGATAATGATATCCTCAAGACGCTCACAAATCTGTTTCATGGTCCATCGTTGGGAGACGGTGTTATTCCACGCGTTTCGCAGCAAGTCTTGTACCGAAGCTGGAATCTCGGCAAGCTCCAGGGACGGGCGGGCCTTGTGTCGAACAATGAGTTCCCGAAAGATTTGTTGGTTGGTGACGGACGTGAAGGGTTTGTTGAGCGTGAGGAGCTCGTAAAAGACCATGGCAAACGAATAGCAATCTGCCTTGCGATTGTACCGTCCATTGTACAGCACTTCGGGTGCAAGGTACATTAAGGACCCCTTGCCCGACATGAAATACAGCAAGTCGTCGTCGTCTTCCTCGGTGGCAGCAAGTTCTTCGCGTCTACGAATGAAATTGCAGGGTCAACTCGCGGGTGAATCAAAGTCAAAGAGTTGCACGGTATTGTCATCGGTAACGCCTATGTTTTGCGGTTTGAGATCGCGGTATATCAAGCGACGTTCGTGCATATATTGCAATGCCCGTGCCAATTGAAGTGCCAAGTCCAACTTTTCCAGCAATAGTCTGCGGGGATTGTTGGTACTGCAAGTCAAAGCCGTCAGGTTGTCTTCCTTGCATTCTTCTTCCCATGTTCTGGGTGCTGCTGATGATGATGGCGAGTGATCGTGTGCTGCCATGTGAAGACATTCCAAGAGACTCTCTTCCTGTTGTAGGCATTGCCACTCCAGAATCTTATCTTTGAGTGTCCCTTGCAAACGATCCGTGATGATGAAAAAGCCGTCATAGTCTCCTCCATTGGTTAAAAACGCGGCGGAACCACCCTGGGCGACGGCACGAAGCTTGAGAATGCCGGGATGATTCAAGGATGACAGGTATTTGGCCTCCATGATGAGATCACTGGCTGCCGCTTGAAAGTGTTCCGGGTCGCCGCTTTTGGGGATCAAGTCGGGACGCAAATGCTTAATGGCGTACTGTCGCTTGTGGCTGTGGGGCATTTCTTCTTCTTGTTCTCGACGAGATGGGACAAGACGGACGACAAGCACAAGTCAGTGTCTTGCTGTTGATCTTCTCCTGTTTGCGCGGAGAATGCTGCTGCTGTGGACTGGTCCAAGTTAAACCAGTCACTTCCGAAACGACCGAGAAGCTACCCTTGCCCAACATGGCTCCCACTTGGACTTGACTTCTATCCAATTGAAGAACGGAAGATGAGGACTCTTCTTCTTCTTGCCGTTGCAGAAAGGTCGATTCTCCCATCATGGTCTCTACCAGATTGTCAATCGCATAGGTAGATCGCTTCACGATGGATCGTTCCCACCAAGACGGCGAACGAGAAAGACGTTGTGGATGCTCGGCTGGCATGATTATTGTTCTGTGTTGTAGTGTGGTGTAGTGTGGTGTAGTGAAGTAGACTGTTGCCTCTTCCTTCTTTACTCAAAATTAATGAGAAGAAGTATTGGATGGGATCGGATTGGCTCAATGAATGGCTTTCCTAAGATGACTAACTGGCAAACCTTCGAATAGATTAACAGGCAGCCATGCACGACCCTTTGGCTTGTGGTTTGGTTTGGAGAGTTACTTGAAAGCGATGATGATGGACCAGCCGTTTCTGTCTTGTGGGCTATGTATTCTTGGTTGGATGCCGAACCCAAGCGGTTCAAGCGCATAAGATCCTTCTTCCGATAGAGCACGATTGACCGTTTTTCATCTGGCGTTTTTACTGGTTATTGGGTGAGAAGCTGCATGATGACTTCCCCACAGTTGTATGACGTCGGAGGTGCGCGTTGAAGAAGCAAATTTCATCGGTCCCGACCGTTGCCGCAGCCGGTATTGGGATTAGCATGGGATTGCACTTTTGATGCCAGCCAAAGTTGTGGGACCGAGAAAGTTTGGCGAGCCAAGTGAGACAACAAAGCCGTTGGTTGTGGAATCCATCGTTGTGACTGAAACTCACTCATGCTCTTCACCGCACCTGGTGGCTTCTCCTCCTTCTTGCCCAACGGTGTTCGCTCTTCCGCCAAAGAAAGGCAATTGCAGTAATGGAGGAGCATACCGTACCACCTGGTGGAGCTTTTGAAATACCATACTTTCCTGCACGTAGAACATGCACGTGACGGCGCACTGGATGAAAAATAAGATGACTGGTCTCATCAGAGTCATGATGTCAACCCCTTGCCGTTGAGGGCATTGTTGGCTTCCGTGGGTGGTCAGATGGCATCAAGCAATCAATCAGTGTCAAAGAACAACTAATAACTGTGGTTGGTTGACCTGCACGGGATGACACTTTACGAAGCCAGCTCGACTATCAACCACCATTGCACCTCCACGGTGACTGCGTGAGTTCGGATCTGTACAGTAGGACTCTTCCTGCTGGCTGGACCTCAAACCACTGCCTCAATCTCCACACTTGAGTTGACACATGCCGGGCGGGCAAGGCAGCGTACCGGTAGTGGCTCATACTGGCTAGTTGTTAGGATAGTACTACGGTACGAACTGCCTGAAGGATCTCATCAAGCTGGTCAGTCACCAGTAGGGCGGGGCATCGATGGTGGAACCATTGGTGCTTGTGACCAAGAGTCAGCCAAAGACAGATGCATGTCCAGGCATGAGGGCAGCTTGCGGTACGGTGCGAACTGAAATTGTTGGCTAGACAGAAGCGCTTGCTTGGCTTGCAAGTCGCCGTTCTAGACCAAAATCGGGATGCCGCGTCCCCATCCCCCAAGAAGTCGTATAGCCAAGAAGCTTTGTTGCGAGGCAGTATATATGTCATTAGTGTCTCGAGCATGCCATGGGACTTTCCTTTGAATTGAGAGATGCTCCCTTGATTGGACTTAAGAAAGTGAATGGTGCTACTCAACCTTCTTGCATCTTTGGTGGTATAAGCTGTATACATGACAACATGTCTGCATAGTTTCCTCCACTCAGGAAATGAAGTTTAAAGCTTAAATAGTGCAGTCATTGCATACCGTCTCCTGGCACTCTCCTGCATTCGATGGATGGTCCGCTTTGTGTTAGTTTCCAGATCAGGAATGATGTAGAAAGTGTCCAAACGGCCACCTGGAAAGGTGCAACCTGTCTGAAACTTGGAACGGATGGACTTGGGAAACAATGGGCGCACAAACGAAACAGTTATGTTCAGGAAGAGACTGCAATGGAAGTATTCCAGCTGACGGGCGGCAAAGGGATAGATGGAGAATATGTCTGTGCATAGACTCTTGGCTACATTGACATCCATGTTGGAGAAGCTGAATCCATCACATTCAGTCACAAGCGTGATACCTTCTCGAATACTGTGAAAATCAGGGTTCATTGACTGGGAGACTGATGGGTGAGCTACGTACCACAATGATGAAGGCATATCAATCATTGCGACACCAATTTTACCCACTCACCTGGAGCATGTAGTAAATGCCTCTGACATGCCTTTGCCACCCTGGATCTGTCCTGATAAGCTGTTGATCATATTCAGCCAAATCAGAGACCAATACATAACCACCAGATGTGTGGTTGTAGGAGAACGACAGGAAAAACTTGGGCATCATGGAGACATACTGATGCAGAACGGCAACTGCATCTTCAAGGGTATTTCGAACATTAAATTCTTCCCGGAAACCCTGCAAAGTTATCGCTCTGTCCATGGCCGCCTCCAAGTTGTCTTGTTCTATGATAGCAAGCTCAGTATACTCAAAATCGGACAGGTTGTCAATCTCAGTGCTGCTCTCGATGCTGGCCTTGATGGCTCGGGCCCATTGAAACTCTTCATCAGAAATAATCATGGCCCACGATCCATCTCCATCTGCCAACAAGGAAGGATTCATGATGCTTGGAATGCCAACAAAGGCAGGAGCATCAGCTGCGGCTTGTATCTCGCGACCATCTTCTTCAAGTTCTTCTCTGTTGTGCTCGTGGACTCTTTCTTCTTCGCCTTGGTCTTGGCGCTCGAAACGTCGTTCCTGTTGCGGATTCTCGAAGTTCATGTCCTTGGCTGGCTAGCTAGCTTGCTTCGCAGATAGCTTATGGTAGATTCCACAGCTCTGATCTTTCTTCGCCGATGATGCTGTACTATGAATGAATGAAGTCTGTTTGTTGTGACGATGGGTGCGTACTTGTACGTAGCGGTACCGTACCGGTACCAGGTATCGGTACCCGTACAGTACCGATAGTGTGGCGCTGTTGCGCTTCCAACCAAACTCTCGAGCTACCGGTACGGTACCGGTACTCTCGTGACTTCACCGAGCGAGCGGAGGTAATAACATACCGGTACATTGAAGATTGAATTCAATCTGTGCTGTTTTCATGATCACAGGATTTTCGCCCGGAAACTGCTACTTAAATATGAGGCTTCACAAGTTTCAAGTGAATGTTTTCTTTTGATTCTCTCCGGAAATAATGGAATTAAATGGCATATTGGATTTAGAAGCATGACTTGTCGTTCTTTGCCGCGCGCTCCAAGACCACTTCACCCTGGTCCCTGGTGGTGGTACAGTAGTACAGTACCGGTACTGTAATCTGCTACTTGCTCGTTCTCTGGGTGGAGAAATCCAGTGCAATCCAATGCCAACAAGGTGAACCTGACCAGGCAGACTGAGTACTGTACAATACATGTACTCGAGTACTTGTAACCGTTTTGACATCGGCAGCACGGCAGCTCATGGGCAAACCAACAGTAAACAGGGGTTAAGGCAGAGCTAATGGCAGTATCCTAGCTAGCTTCTATTTAGAATACATGTAGATGCACCAGGTTGTTGAGGTTTTAAATTTCATGTTGCACCAACTACAATCAATATGCATTCATGATTCATGATTGTGGTATGTCAACTCACACATTCTCCCAGTTGACCAACCCTGATTTCCACAGCATGCACCGAGCAGGAATCTCACTTGTGAAGGAATGTGGCTGATGGGTTCAGCTTCTCCAACTCCAACATCGATTTCAATCTTGCCAGGGGACTTTTTACAGTAATATCCATTTGCCACTCTGCAACTGAATGCTTCAGGGATTTAGTCCATCAGTTCCAAATCTCTACAGGTTGCATATTCCCTGGTGGTGGTTTGGACCATTTTTACCTTTTCCCTGACCGGGAAAGTACCACAGAGCGGACCATTGGTCAAATAAATGTAGGAGACTGCTCGAAGAAGGTACCAGGTACCGGTATGCAGTGACCTCTACTACATCATTTTGGCTCTAAATCCGGTAATCACGGATGGATGAAGGAGGCTTTGAACATTCAATGAAGTGCTAGTGCTAGCTACGTGTAGCAATTGCAGTCAGTGAATCACCAAGTGTTATTGCTTGTACGGAGTATTGTCGGATGTCGGATCCCTTACGGCAGAGAAGTCCAAGTAGCCACATGCAGAGGTCAAAAATCTATTTACGTCGACTTGGTGCTGCAAGGTCTGGTTGCTTCTTCTGCAAGTAGAGTACCGTCGACACCTGCAATGATCGAATCGAATGATGACTCTGCCTCTAAAATTGCTTATTATTAATTTATCCGTCACTGTTGCTCGTCGCAGACCCCAGCGAAAAGTCAATCTCATCCAACCCCAATTGTCGTTTCAAGCACCGCAGCGCCCACCGCCGTCCAAAGGGTATGTAACTCAACGAATACCACATGCATGCACAGAATTGTGCCAAAATCAAGCATACCAGTAGCAGTAGCTTGGCAAATCCTGGCATGGGTATAAAGATACAACCCACGGTAGCTACCAGACAGGACAAGTAGGTAATGGAAGTGAATTTTCTTTTTTCATCAAACATGTTTTTGAATTGTCGTTTGGGTCCACATAGAAATGTCATACTGAGCAAACTCAGTAAATTTCCAAAGGAGTAATTGAGTGCAAACGGGACGGGATGTCCTTCCACGAGCTCGATAAAGAATTTGAAGGACATGCATGTGATCAAATCTGGAAGAAAATATTAGGATAGGAAAGGAGGGAGACTTTTTATTAGTAAATCCTGACTTTTTTAGTTCTCGTTTTAAGAAACCTGGAGAATAATCCACTTACATCCAATACCAAAACTGACTCCAAAGCCAATTAATCGCTATCATAAATATGGAAGGAATTGACCCAAACAAACAAATTAGCATTGGAGAGATAGCGGTACGGTACGTAGACTTTCGTACCGCTACCAACACTCACCTGTTGAAACGTCAGTTTGGGACAAAAGCTATCGGTGAATTCCTCCAATCGACTGCTGGTCTCGGACGTCTGAGATTCTTCCTCGATCTGTGCTTCTTCCTCGGAAGTCCGCATCAATTTGAATTTTGCCTTTTCGAGATGGCCGGACGCCATCTCCACGGCTCCCGTAGCGCTCGATCGGAGCTTGTCAAGACTCGGTAGTGGCATGGTTGTCGTCGGCGGCGTCGGCTATTGTACGGTAGAAAGGAAGCTGATTGGAGGTAGAAGTGTTGGATGTATGCCGTCGTGGATGGACGGTGCTTCTATTTTTGGCTCTGTCATTGTTGCCTCGGGTGTCTCGAGCTTCCGTCATCTCGCCGAAGCGCTCATCCTTTGAGACGCACAGCTCTCCAATTAATAAGCCTGCGAGTTGATGATGGAACACATGCCAGGTGCTCGAGAAGTGCTTCCGAGAAGCGTGCACCCAGGATCTGGCAACAAATCACAAAATCCAACGGCCAAAATTTTTGTAGAGCACCCTTCACAAAATCGATCCGAGCCTTCTCAAACTTCTGCCTCTCAGAAAATCGACCATTCATCGAAGTGGCACTAACACAAAGCAGCTTGAAGGCAAAAACCATCACCATGACGGAAACTCCAACTGCTCCCGGAGGGCGGTTCATCATTGACGTCCGCGTCTTTATGCTGAGCATGACGGTGGCCATGTGCGCTTCCTTTTTCGCAGGCGTTACCATGGGGCCGAATCCGGACGCCATTACGAATGTGATTTTGGCCAAGAGTCCTCCTCCTCCCTTGGACTTGTCACCGGAAGTGGTGGCTCAGTCTTTGGAACATGCTCCTGCTGGACAGCATCTTTTGGTGGATATTGCCAACGTGGAAGCTGCCTTTTTGGATTCCGAAGAACGCCTGGCAGATGCCATGGTCCGCACGGTCGATGAGGCAGGCCTTACTATGCTCAGTTATCATTGCCACAAACTCATGCCCGCTGGAATTTCCTGTGTGGGTGTCTTGATGGAGAGTCACATCAGTTTCCATACTTGGCCCGAAGAAGGAGTCATCACCTTGGATTTGTTCACTTGTGGTCCCAATCCTCTACTGCCAGCTGCAGTGGAAACCATGGAACGTCTCTTTGGTATTCAACGTTCGGCCGACGAGGAAGTTCGTGTCAAGTGGTCTCACGAATTGCGTGGATTCCGACCCGATGATTATTCCAAGTCCAACAATAATGTCGTGGACAGTTACTCGGATTTGAGTTATATGGTCCACAGTCCTTTGGATGTCTACTCCAAAGAACAAGTCTACAGCAACCTGACTGCCTTTCATCGAGTCGATATTTGGGATGTGGTGGAGGTGAGATATTTATTGTTCAAAAAAAAATCTATGATTAGGTTGATTTGATTGTGTCCTACCCAATTTTGGCTGATTTCTAATTATTTTCGATGCTTGCCACCTTTTTCCTCCTTCAGCTGGATGATTCCCCGTCTCACGCGGACGGTATCAAACATGGTCTCGAGGCGGGAGATCCTCGGTGGGAAACCCCAGAACTGACATCTCCGGAACGATCTGTCTTTCTCAATGGATACTTGATTCGTGGTCTGCACAACGACAGGGAAGTGCACGAGGCGCTGGTTCATCCTTCCATGTTTGCTCATCCCAATCCACAGCATGTTGCCATTATTGGAGGACGTGAAGGTGGAGCTTTGCGAGAAGTTCTCAAGCACAAAACGGTGGAGTCTGCCCTTCTCGTGGAACAGGATGAAGAGCTGGTCAAGATTTCCAGAAAGTACTTTCCCGAAATGTCCGATTGCTCTGATTTGGTGGGACGTGCCAATGACTGTTTCGAAGACGATCATGTGGCGGTCAGCCACGCGGATCCCCAGGATTACTTTGTCAAGAATTACGGCACACCCACCGGGGCTGGAAAGCTTGATGTTCTGATTGTGGACGAAAAGCACCCCCGGCATTTCCCAGAATTTTACACCAACCAAGAGTTCATCTCCTCCTTGGTCAAGTCGTTGTCTCCGGAAGGTGTCATGGTCATCAATGCTGGTATGGCTCCTGACGTTGATGATCCTCGTGCGGATAAGGGTGTCTACCATGTGAGAGAACAATTGATGAGGCAGTTGGAATCTCATCCAGATGTTGGAGCCATGTTGGTCTATGAAGAATCCCGTGTCGCCTTCAACGACCCCTGTGCTTTTCTGGTGGTGTGCAGGTCGGCCAGTTGCCGAAGTCGTTGGTATGCTCGCAGTGATCAAGTGGATTTCAGCATCTACGAACGAATTGTTCGCACCAACTCCAAGGAGCGAGCCCTATCTTACTATGACGGAACTTCCCAGTTTTCGTACTCCTTGCCACCTAAAGCCTGGGAGACTGTTTACTGTCGCCGCGAACCTACTCCCTTTGAGTGTGCTTACCTTCATTTGGACCCCAAGAAGGAGCTCCATGATTTGAATGTGGAAGATGCATCCAAGAGCTCGTTCCGTTTGGAATCCAAAGAATCCAATGTCGAAGGAGTAGAAGACGAGACCTTTGTCTACGCTACGGTTGATATCCCTGCGGGATCCTACATCATGCCCAAGCATTTGGCTAGCTCCATGGTGGTCACCAAACGCAACTTGGAGGGGCTTGAGAATAGTTTGGACGTTGGTGGCGGTCCTGTGGCAGTTATTGAAGACCTCTTGGAGTTTATTGGTGAGCACGGCCATGCCAGCCATACCGAGGGATCGGCTGTTCATTACGTCGAAATTGGAGGATCAGTCCTGATCCGCAGAGTTGGCACTCAAGAGGAAGCCAATGTAGGACGCTGGGTGCCACCCCATCCATCCGGTCGCCCTCCAGTGTTTTCCCCCGTCTACGAGCGCCATCGCATGAGCTTTGATGTCTTTATTGTGGCCACCAAGGATATCCCAGCAGGAACCGAGTTATTGCGCTACAAAGGCTTGTGGGAAGACAATTAGTTAGTCTTTGGGACCTAACCTTTTGCTCATGGTCAGTAAACCAATAGGAGCAGGATCTTTCGTTTGCTAGTTTCTGAGGGGCTAGTGCGAGAAATGTGGGAGTTTCATTATCGTAGGTTCGGCTTGCTCTGTTAACATAAACACGGCTTTGCCTTTGATTATTCGTGAGGTCACCTCACGATTTAAACATAGAAGGGGTCTGGGGGTGGCTCGTGCAATTTACTTTGGCTCTTTTGAATAGGGGCAAAGAGTACAAAAGCTGATTCTGCAATTATGAGGCCTTCTTGAAGTGTTTTTGGTGGGTTAAAGCATACACTAGTAATTAGTAAGGATTGAGTGTAGTAAAACCTTTCTTCTCACATCAAACCATCACTTGTGGATATGGTTTGAAATGTTATAGCCTTCAAAGAACTCCATAAAAAGAACACTGGAGAAGCACTCACAAAATATGTACAGTAAGGTTTCTCCAGTAACGAATGGGGTACAGTACTAGCATACTAGTAGTAGTGGATTGGCTTGCCACATACTGAGCCACTGTACAGAATGGTGTAGCTCGGACGTTTCACTTCCCGTGGAACCATTTATTTAATTGATTTTATTGGCTTGCTACCAGTAGCTAGGACTGTACCACGAAAGCAGCCTCACTCGCTCAACCAACAACAAGAGCAACAACAAGAGCAACAAAATGGTGGAGAAGGAGCGGTATTACGGGTAAGTCTATTATCAAGCATGTTATTATTGAAGGCGCAGCACTGACTTCTCTCCCTCATACAATTCCTATGGTAAACAGGAGGTAAAATCCAAGCTTGGCCGACAACAATGGTGTAGTGCTTTATCCAATTGGCTAATCGAAATGAACGACACCCCCCCCCCTAATTCTTCAGGCTGGGATGGAATCTTCAGACTGGGACCACAGCTTGCTTCAGGCTGGGACAACAGCTTATGCTGAAAGTGGCTGGGACCACAGCTTCAGGCTGGGACCACAGGCTTCAGGCTGGGACACAGCTTCAACTGGGACACAGCTTCAGGCTGGGACAACAGCTTCAGCCGATTCTTCATCACATGATTAATTCCATCAGGCAGTTCCTGTATCTCTGCGTATGCAGCCCTTATCTGAGCTTATTGTTGTCATCCATGCATCCCCTCCATTTTCATCAGCTATAGTGGCTTCTTGTTGGCATAGACTATGGTCTCAGTTCCAACCACTTTCACTTCGTTTTCACCGATCCTGACACAGTCCCCGTAACTACAAGCCACAGTTTCCATCACCAGTCCTCGGTTACTCATCCTGTGCCTAGTAGCCTTCTCTGATCCCTGCTATATACTTCTGAGAACATCACTTTGACGAGTGTAATCTCTCACGGAGTGTACAGTAGCATGTACTCGTGATTTTGCTTGGTGATTGCAAAAAACAAGAAACAATTTGCTGCTGGTGCGTGTGAAGATCCAGGATCCAGCAGGATCCAGTGCGAACCTTCCTGCCCTAATTGTAACAATCATAGCAGCAACCACATATGATAGTCTATTTCAGAGAAGCAAGTCAGGCAGAAGACTCTTTCAACGCTTTCCATCTCTTGGGTGTCCAATAAACTCCCGAAGTGCCAAAAAAGCAATCTATTTGGGCATCACTAGGAACCTCCCAGTTTCGCAGCTTATTTGGACTCTGTGCTGCCTTGCCCCTCACCACAAAGTTCTGGAAGCCACTTTTTGCTTGATCAGGAGGTATTTCTTTTCCCTCTTTCAACTGATACCCAATAGTTTTGAACCAATCCCCAGCCTCATTCCACATAACAACCAACATGTCGTATTGCTTGAAGCTGGCATGTGAAGGGTAATAAATCGCAACCCGTGCACCGTCTTGCTTCTTGGGGATTGTCACCATTAAGGCATCGACATCTTGAAAGTCCTCAAACTACGTCATGTGATCTGGAACCCACCGCAGCTTCCCTCCATCACTCGCATCCATCAGCTGTTCAAGAGACTTTGGGACCAATTGTCTTCTGCCAGTGCTACCAGCTGGAAGACAGGTCAACTTTACCTGTGTCAAAGAGTGAAAACCTTATTTCTTTTTCAAAACTGTTAATGCTTGGTCCTGAAAAGTCAACTCTGAGTCATGCTTTAAAGATCGTGAATTAAATTTTCAAATTCAATCCCGGAGGACCTTTGGACAGGTTCTTTTGCGTAGGCCCAGTACATTTTCTACAGCTGGACTTTACCTGTCTTAGATTTACCTGTTTCCCAGCTGGTAGAGTGATCAAAGACTTGAGAAGGTTTAAGACAGTGTCTTCCCTGTAGGTCTAGTCTGTAGCAAGAAATGTCTCTACAGTCAACATTCAGATATATATACTGGGGGGGATTCAGGAATTCAGTAAATATAACAGCGAGAATAAATATTGATTTTATCCCTAACCCTAACTATTCCCGTAGAATTGTACGTGCTCTAGTACTAAAATAGGGTTAGAGTTAAAAATGTGGGAACTGGAGTATTCTTAAATATTATAGAGCGAATAAATACAAGATTATAAATATAAGCGAGCGTTGACTGTACAGCTGTTTCTCGCTTTTCAGTGGGGAAGGTCTTCTTCTTCATCATGAGAATCAATGCTGGAATAAGACCACAATAAATTGCGTTGCGAGCATTCAGGTCCTTTTAAAGTCAAACGCATTTTGTGCCACAACAAGGGATGGAATCAATGGCAGACCACGGTGAGCAAATTTCGATTGCTCTTGGAATCCATTAACATGGACAACTGTCCTGTGATAAACGCCTCGTGGGTGGTATAAACGAAGTATCGTCCAGCAACCTTGAGGCAATTATCCTTGAGGAAGTCTGCAAAGGCTTCAGATTCCGTTGTGCGACTTGCTAGGTTCTCTAGGTTGTTGAGTTCATCAATAAGAAGAATACACCTTGCATGCCCCAACCATTGTACAACGGATTTCTCACTCACCACCCTATGTCGGAATATTATGTTGAAGTTCTCCGTTGTCTTCGGCCCTTGTAGGCTGCAAATGCTATCCTTCGAGTGAGGGCTGCGAGAGGGTCGTCTTGTTCTGCTGATTTCGCAGTAGAGTTGTCGTTAAAGCTCACTACCAGGGATTTAAAGTCAAAGGATCCGCCCTCAACAACGGAATAGAGACTACGAGTCTCCCCCCCCCCCCCCGGCTGCACCGTGCAAGGCACAAGGGTTGAACTCTATCATCGTCATCAGCTCCCTCTTCCTCAAATTTATCCACATTTGACTTGACCAAATCCCTCATATCCTTGAGCCGGCTCTCACCACAAACGAAGGGGGAAGGCTTCTTCTTGAGGTAGACAGGTTCGGGGTATTCTTCTAAACTGTGGCAGATTCCGGACTTGACCAATTCAGCCATGGTGGTGCTGACCATTTCTGTCTTTGTCTTCTTGGTGGGAGGTACTTTTGAAAAAAACACGGAGCGACAGATTAATATTTAGCCAAGGACATGATAATGGGGGAAATGGAGGTGAACAAATTGAATAATTCAACAATAAACAACCGAATCCAAAACTCTTCTTACCATTTGCTGGCTGCTGTTGCTGCCAGGGAACCAGTCGTTGGTAAGCATGCATGTCAGAGTTTCCTTTTGCACTTCCCACTTTACAGAAGCTGGCAAAAGTACTTAGTTATGAACCCACTCTTTATAGCCATGGTCTCCGTTTGTAAAGTACCAGGTATAGCTGCTGGGTCTGTAGTAAAACGAATGTACAGAACCCGATTGAAATCATCCCATCCTGTTGTTCCCACTATCTGTTTACTACCGCAGGAGGAGAGCCAAGGAGCATGCTGCAGCCACATATCCACAGTGCTTGCTAGCTACCCTACCAGGTACATGTAGCTCACGTGTGTCTTGTAGCCAGAGCCCATGGCTACTAGCTAGCTAGCTAGAGGAGGAACTGAGTGAGAATCAAATCGAATCCTCTTGTGAGGTGCGCTCGGTACGGTAGGTGCCAACGGTTATGTCGCGCGTGGGAGCACGTGCAGCTCTGCCAGAGGATCCGGTACTTATACCGGTACATGTAGGACGTTAGAGAACTCGAACACAACCTGCTCAACAGTCAATGACAGCGCAATACCATCATTAGTAGTCTTGGTTTTTCGCGACAAAACCACCATGGCCGAGACCAAGAAGGCAGAAGCCGCCGCTGTGGCCGTGCCAGAGGGCGCCTGTGCCGTTGATATCCGCATCTTTCTTTTGACAATCACCCTTTCCATGTCTATTGCATTTTGGGTTGGAATCAGTGTCCATCTCCCTTTTAACAGTCTGGGGCAACGTCCTTCCACGGTTCCAGCTGCCCTTGAAATCGAAGAGCCCGAGATTCGCACCTTGGAGCTTTCTCCTGCCGACTATGACATGACTGATGCTCACAGGTTCGTTGAAATTGCTTCTCGAATATGCTGGCTGGAATATTATCAATTTTGTTTTCTCATCATTTCTCTTCTTTTTTATATAGTCCATCTGGCCAGCATCTTTTGGTGGATATCCAAGGAATTGAAGCTGCCTTTTTGGACTCGGAAGAACGCCTGGCAGATGCCATGGTCCGCACTGTCCACGGGGCAGGCCTTACTATGCTTAGCTATCATTGCCACAAATTGGATCCTGCTGGTATTTCATGTGTTGGTGTCTTGTTGGAAAGCCACATCAGTTTCCACACTTGGCCTGAGGAGGGTGTTATTACCTTGGATTTGTTCACATGTGGTCCCAATCCTCTATTGCCTGTGGTGCCCGTCATTGAGCGTCTGTTTGGTATTCAACGTTCGGCCGACGAGGAAGTTCGTGTCAAGTGGTCCCATGAACTCAGAGGATTCCGTAAAGAAGACGAGAAGAGAACCAATTATCTCGACAACTTTAGGTATGTCTTCTTACTGGGAATCCCTTCTTGTTTTGATGTGCCTTACCAAAAATATCTCCTACTTTGTTTTTCCAGTGACCTTTCCCTTTGGCTGCTTTCGCCCTTAGAGCTTGTCTCAAAGACACAGGTGTACAGCAATATTACCAAGTATCAGGTAAGCACCAAAAGAGATGTACCATGGCTCCAGTAATGCCTTGTTCTAACATATCGGGTTCATCCAATTTTTAATCCAATTTGACAGAGAGTCGACATTTGGGATTTTGTAGAGGTGAGTCAAATTGCTTGTGAGGGTTCTTAAAGCAATTATGGTTTCGTTGACCGCCGGATGCTCTCCTGAATTGTTAGGAAGCAGACCTCCCAAGCTACGCGGACGGTTTGAAACACAACCTTCCAGATGGGGACGAGCGCTGGGAACAGCCTGATCTGTACACGCCAGATCGCATCTTGTTCCTTGATGGGACCATTCAGAGCCTATATTCTGCAGAAGCCACCTACCATGAGGCTCTGGTACATCCAGCCATGTTTGCTCACAATGCACCTAAGCATGTTGGAGTTCTTGGAGGGGGCGAGGGAGCTACCATTCGGGAAGTGCTGAAGCATAAAACCGTTCAAAGTGTCACCATGATTGAAATTGACGAGGAACTAATTGAGATTTCTCGACAACACCTACCACAAATGAGCGACTGCAGTGACCTAGTAGGACGTTCAGACAATTGCTTTGATGACCAGGCAATCAAGGTTGTAACAGACAATGCTGTGGCATACTTCCATGCTCGTCATGGCCCAAACCGTCCCATTAAATATGCTCCAAAGCCTTTTGACGTCCTAATTGTGGATGCTCTTGACCCTGAAGACGATGTCATGTTTGCCAAGGATCTTTACGCAGACGATGTATTTCTGTCAGCTGTGCTCAGGAGCATGTCTGATGATGGTGTCCTGATGATCCAAATTGGAACAGCTGCTGATCTGCTCGATCCCAAGGCTGACATTGGGGTGTACCAGATCAGAGAAAGGATGTTCAATCTGTTTGAAGAGCATCCTGATGTGGCTGCCATGTTTGTATTTGAAGAACCTGAATCTGGTAAGCTTAAGAAGTTTTGTGCTGCGGTGCCTAAAGATGCTGTCGCAGCCATCCTCACGACTGCTTGTGCAACTTGCAGGTTTCCTCGAACCGCATTCTTTCCTCGTTGTTTGCAAAGATAATAGATGCAGGAATAAGTGGAATGCCAGAAGCGATGCAGTTGACTATGAGATTTACAAGCGCATTGTTCCCACCAATTCTGGACAACCAGCTCTCAAGTACTATGATGGTGCAGTCCAGCATGGGTATCAGATCCCCCCAAAGGCTTGGGAATCAGTCTACTGCCGAAGGGAACCTGCACCGTTTGAGTGCTCATTTGTGTCTCTCGACTTTGCGAGCGAAATCCACGAGCTAAGGTTGAATGGAGAGGGCTCATTCCGCATCGAGCTTCAGAAAAACGAGGACGGCGAGGTAGTTGATGCGTCGGTGATTGCCAACGTAGACATTCCCAAGGGCTCTTTCATCATGCCCGATGACCTTTCCAAGCCGTTGATTCTTGGAGCACACAATGTCAACGCTATCAACACCCACGACAATTCGCCCACATTCAAAGATCTAGCCGCTTTCATTGAGTCATGGGGACACAAGTCCTTTGCCGAAGGTACGGACACTCGAATCCTCGAAGTTGGCGCTTCGACATTGATTCGCAAGGTCCATGCTGGGGATATCAATGTTGGAAAGTGGGTTCCTACCCATCCAAGTGGCAAAAGGCCTCCTTACTCCCCTGTGTACGACCGTCATCCTATTAGTTTTGAGGTATTCCTCGTTGCGTTGGACGATATTCCTTCCGGAACCGAGCTCACGCGGTCTGTGGACGATTGGACGACCTGAAACGAGGCAACTCTCACGTGACGGAATTTGTGAAGCAGGTAACCAGTAGCCCTTCGATGTAAGCAGCGTGGGATAGCAAGAGACATTTTCTTATTTTAAAAATTTGACTATTATTTCTAAGCTACCGTACCGCTAGACTAGCTAGCGGAAAGGTGATAGTGTGAGGAGATTCCAACCCAAACCCTAAATTCTGGCCGTTGGGAGAGCACCTGCTTCCCTCCATTTGGCCGTTGCTTCACCAAATCCACAATAAAAATCTTGAGGACAAGGAGCAAGATGGCGACGACCGCTTCCAACCATGATGGAGGTTGTGCAGTAGACATTCGTGTTTTCCTGCTGACGCTCGTCCTTTCGATTTTTGCTGCTTTCTTTGCAGGAGTTTCCTGCGTCCCGCCTCTGTTTGTGGTCGCTTCGTTGTCATCCCTTGCCGACAAAACCAATGATGTTAGTCGAAAACTTGTGCCTCCATCCGCATCACCATCGGACTTGTCAAGTTCCAATTTTTTGTCGTCCTTGGATCATTCTCCTTCTGGACAGCATGTACTGGTTGATATCCAAGGAATTGAGGCTGCTTTCCTCGACTCTGAGGAGAGACTGGCTGCCGCCATGGTGCAAACGGTTGAGGAAGCAGGCCTTACTATGCTTAGCTACCATTGCCATAAGTTGGATCCTGCAGGTATTTCTTGTGTGGGTGTCTTGTTGGAGAGTCATATCAGCTTTCACACTTGGCCTGAAGAGGGAGTTATTACGCTGGATCTTTTTACATGTGGAGCCAATCCCTTGCTTCCAGTGATACCAGTCATTGAACGTCTCTTTGGTATTGGAGAAACAATCAACACAAGGTGGGCTCATGAACTGAGAGGCTTTCGGTCTATGGAAGAAAAGAAAAAGAATTACTTGGACTCCTTCAGTGATCTCTCCCTCTGGATCTTGAGTCCGATTGAGATCCACAAGAAGCAGATGATCTACAGCAACCTCACAAGATACCAGGTAGGACGAAGCATAATGTCATCATGTCTATGTTCAAGATGTCAATCTGCACCCCGGCCCTCACCCTCGTCCCTGAAACTGTAACAGCGAGTCGACATTTGGGATCTGACCGAACCAGAAAACGAACCAACTTACTACGATGGACTCAAACACAACCTCAAGGATGGGGACCCTCGTTGGAAGGACAGAGACTACTACACCCCAGATCGAGCACTTTTTCTGGATGGAGTCTTACAGAGCCTTTATTCTCATGCATCTGATTACCATGAGGCACTTGTTCACCCAGCAATGTTTGCCCATCCAAGTCCAGTGCACGTGGGAATCATTGGAGGTGGAGAGGGAGCTACACTACGAGAGGTATTGAAGCACAAGACAGTGGACCATGTGACAATGATTGAAATTGATTCAGAGCTGATACAAATTGCCCGTGATTACCTTCCTGAAATGTCTGATTGTGGCAACCTTGTGGGACGGGCTGAAAACTGTTTTGATGATGAAATTGTTGAGATGATTGTGAATGAGAATGGCGTACAGTGGTTTGTGGATCGCTACAGCCCTGGTGCAACCAAAACAGCACACCATGGCGCCTTCGATGTAATCATTATTGATGCTCTTGATCCGGAGGATGATGTACCCTTCACTACTGACCTCTATGTGGATGATGTCTTTGTGTCCTCCATTATGAAGAGTCTTTCATATGATGGTGTAATCATGATCCAGATTGGCACTGCACCGGAGCTGTTGGATCCAAAGGCGGACATTGGAATCTACCAAATCAGAGAGAAGCTACTCAACCTTTTTGAGGACCATCCTGATGTGGCTGCAATGCATGTCTATGAGGAGCCACGCAGCGGTTACCTTGAGCCACATGCATTCATGGTTGTTTGCAAACATGTAAGCTGCAGAAGTAGATGGTATGCCAGATCCGATGCAATTGACTATGAAATCTTTGATCGAACAATCAAAACAAAATCAGGAGAAGGAGCTTTGAAGTACTTTGATGGCATTACACAACATTCCTACCAATCACCTCCCATGTCATGGGAAGCTGTGTATTGCCGTCGTGAACCAACTCCGTCCGAATGCGCCTATCGTTCCCTAGACTTCACGAAGGATACTTACGAAATTGACCTAAAGGACGAAAGCAAAAGCTCGTTTAAGGTGGAATTGGCCGCAACTGATGCTGGTGTGGTGACACGATCATCAGTGTTTGCAGCAATTGATATTCCAAAGGGGTCGTTCATCATGCCAGGGGACTCCGCGAAATCATTAACTGTAAGTGTCCAAAACATCGAGGACATCAAAAAACGCGCGGAAAATGGTGTAGCCGGATTCGAAGATTTTGTCGGCTACTTGGAAAACCATGCAAACCCAGCGAGAACAGAAGGATCCGACATCAGTTTTGTGGAGGTGGGAGGTACAACGTTGATTCGAGTTGTTGACGAGGAATCTGATGCAAATGTTGGACGATGGGCACCCGCGCACCCCAGCGGGAAACGCCCAGCATACTCACCCGTGTATGATCGACATCGAGTGAGCTTCGACGTCTTCTTGGTTGCAACTCAAGACATTCAAGCGGGAGCAGAGCTGTTGCGATTCCATTCGTGATGGTGATATTGGCCCCTACTGTTCAGTCGTAATGAACCATAAAGTTTTTTGTGGAGGCGAAATGAAAGGAAACAGAACTATAGTCAGTTAGAGAATGTTCTACAGGTACTCTTCTCAGAAAAGGGTTTAAAAAAGACAAACTCGCAAATGACGGTCCCTTGCCATGGTCCCTTCGCTTCACGAAGCTTTTGGTGATTCGATCATTCTCTCTGGTGTATCCTAAGCGAGTGAACCGGCCTAATCAAAATTGATGAGATCAGCTGCACTGGCCTCGTCGTCGCTGCCAAGCTCTCCTAAGCCTAAGTTCCCAAGGTCGCCAAGGTTGACCTCGACACCACCAATGAGGCCCATGGTTCCCTCCTCGCTTTCCTCTGCCGCCTTCTTTGAGCCGGCCTTCTTCTTCTTTTTCTTCTTCTTTGGCTTGCCGCTGAGCTGCTCTTTCACAGCCTCTTCCATGCCAGTGAGCTCCGAACGGGATGCATCAACTTGCTCACGGACCGCATCGTGCATTGCGACTGCCTCGTCTGCAATCAACGTACCAGCACCGTTGAACTTGATGGCATTGTTCTTCATCAATTCAAAGTCTTTGACGAATGCATCAGCTGCAGGGAGATGTAGGAAAGAGCGATATGTGAGCGGCTATGCCAAACTCGTGATGGCGCAGCCGTGGGATTGAACGTACCTGTTCGATACTCGTATCTGTCAAGTTTCAGCGACGACGGGGGTGAGAGGCAATACAAAACACCACTGGAATGTTCGTCGTTGTGTTCTTACCTCTGGATCTTGTCTCGTATTGTCGACAGATCAATTGGGTTGCTGATCACCTCGTAGTACTTTGGGACAGCACGGCGATTGACAGGTTTCAAGAACGGGCCAGCATGTGGACGAGTTTCGGCCATGGCCCGAATGCTCTCCAAGCGCTCCGCAAAAATGACGTGTGGTCTGCGGTCTCTGATGGAGCCTCTTTCTTTGCGGTTGCTAGTGCCCTTTCGTTTCGAAGCCGTCGTGTACAGATCAGCTTCCTCTTCTTCCCGCTTACGCTTCTTCATTCGTTGTTCTTTGGAAACCTTCGTCTTCAGCTTTCCGAGTTGCAGAGTTCTAGGCTTGGGCCCTCTCTTTGCCCCTGTAGGAGTCCCGGAACCTCGCCCTCTTCCGCGTCCTCTCTTCTTTGTCACGCCACCAAAGCGCGCACGTGTGGCATACTCAAACTCGTCTTCGTCTTCAAACATCGCATGTCCCGGAGGCTTTTCACCAGGGCCTCTATCGTACTTGAGGAGCTCCAGTTTTTGGTGAGGCTTGACAATCCCCTTGCTTTCTCTCTCGGCAATTTTTGCCATGGTTGACCCGACTTCGTCAGGCCGGCAAATGAACTTGAATGTCGTCGTTTGGCGGCCATCGGGGAAAGTCTTGACAATTTTCTTGCGAACCACTTTGCGATTCGTAATTGGAGTTGTTCCAGCATCAGTGGATGGGTTTGTCCCGCCTTTCGCCGCAGCCGAAGCCATGCCCTCGCGAGCCGCTCGTTCTTCTTCGCGCTGACGTTTGAGCGCCGCTAGTTCTCGAGCGTCTTTGGTGAGATCTTGGTCTTGTACGGCAGCACGAAGCTGACCATGGTCGGCAGCCCGCTCCTCGTCTCCTGCTTTTGTATGTGCAGCCACTAGCTGATTTGCCGCGGACCCGTCCATCATTTCCTCTTCAAAGTCGGCAGCCCTGTTTGTGGGAAGGAAGGAAGGCTAAATTAGTGGCCGTATCCGAGGAAAGCAAGGTCATTCACCATGATATACTCACCAATCGTCATCCGAATCAGATTCAGAGTCTTCTTCCTTCTTGTCTTGTTTCTTTTTCTGTGAAGCCTTGTTGGTAGCATCAGCGGCTGCTGCTCCCGTATCAGCATCGGCCGCACCGGCTGTGTCACCCGCGGTCGTACCACCTTCCGCGTCACCAGCGGCCGCGCCACCCTCTGAGGAAGCAGAAAGAGCGGCAATTTGTCGTTTCCATATCACCTGTATGCGCCTCCTGTTAGATAAGAGTAGACATCATTGTCGGTATTATTTCGATGCGTACCTGTATTCTCTTTCGATACACCTGCTTCTGCTCCGACAATTTCATCTTCTCGCCACGAGCGAATTTCTCCAAGCCCTCCTGTCAGAACCGCGAAATTGAAAACATGAGATCAGCGGTCGGCAACAGGAAGCTCACATGTAACACACCAAGTCAGGTTAGATTGGAACTGTGAACTAGCGAACTACTTACTCCCATACCGTCACTTGCTGATCGAGTTGAAAAGTCACGAATAACGTGGACACGATCCCAGCGCTTCAACGTGTCGATCTGCTTTTGGGCCATTCCGAATTTGCGAAGCAGCGCAGCCATCTGTTTCATCGTCAGCTTTCGAAGATCATCTTCAGTGCCTGTAATCTTCTTCATTTGAGCGTTCAGTGCGCCAGCTCCAACAGACTTGCTCGGCTTTGAGTCCGCTTCTCTCAAGAAAGAAAAGCCCTCCCCAAGCCCACTCGGATCTCCCAGCCCTGTAAGCTTCATCATTCCAGACCCTTCGCCTTTCTTGTGGACCTCAATAAATTCTCCCGTGAGATGCCAAGGCGTCAACTGGAGTTCCTCGTAGATAAATTTACAGACTTCATGCCTCTGCCGAAGAGCCTTCCATTGCAATTCGAGGTGTTCGGCCGCTTTCTCATAGAACACCACCTGAGAGGGCTTCAATGCTTTGTTTGTGCGACTCAGTTCATAAAGCTTTTTGGCTTTCCGGTGCAGCTCTTTGGCGGCATTCACCTGCCCTGCCAGGTAGATCATTGTAATACCCACACTGCCGACGGAATGATTTCCTTCGAACAACTGGCAAAGACCTAGATCCTTGAGCCGGCGTGCGGAAGCACTTGCGGTTTCATAAGCGGCCACTCCTTCAGGGGCGATGCTTCTCCCGAGGGCTTCGACGCCTGGATATTCTTCGTACCCAATCGCTTTTGTCGTCCAGATTTGGGTATTTTTGTCGTAAATTGCAACCTGTTTCAAGCGCTGTCGGAGAGCATTGGTTTGCTGTTCGAGACTTGGCAAGATACGGTCCTGTATCTCGTCAAAGCGCAACCCATGCCCTTCCCGAGCTTGCGTCCTTGCCAGCAGCTTTGCAATTTGATACGACACGAATGGATGGATAAAGTTCTTCCAGCCTTGTGTGTTGGGTGCATAAACGCGTGTGCGTGGTTCTGTCTGCCCCACAGTGTAGACGCTGCTAGGAAACTCTCGCAACATGACACCCAAAGACTCGGTCACGCCAGGGCGAATGATACCTCCACCGGATGGACGTCCCAGAATCATCAAGAAGTCTGTGCTTTCTGGTTCTTGCCGAAAGAGGGGCGCCACGAACAAAAGACTGATCAAACCGGAAATGGTCATGCCTTCTTCGACCTCTCCAATAAAAGGACCGTGGACTTTGGGATGCAGCATTTCTGTCACACCCTCAGGCAACATGTCAATCACTGCATTCTTGTTTGCAGCGTCGCCATCACGGGACTTTTTTGGGATCTTTCCAATCCAATCCGCCGCCGTAGCTTTAAGAGCTTTGTCAGGCCCTTCCAATCTTGGAGGACGATCACCCAGCAGATTCTTTGTTGTAGTCTTGACTTTGCTTGGCGACTCGTTTTCGCTCCGCTTTTTCTTTCGGGTGGGACGGTCTCCTCCCCCGCGACTGACAGGGCAGTGCGCCTTGTCACCTCTGTAGTAGTTCACAATTTTGGTGGCCATTCCTTTGGTGAGCTGGATTGGTGGACGCTCTTCGCAGTACTCCAGGAGGACGAGTTTGCCTTCGCTGGTCGACAGATCGGCTTCGCTACGCAACTTGGCCCTACTCATCGCTCCGGGGTGGGTGCCCATCATCATGGAAGTGTACGAGGCGCTAGCCCCCCGCGCACCAGGAGCATTCGGTTTGTCGCCAAGAATGCTGGCCAAGTAGCGAATTTGAAATTGCCATTGCAGACTCGAGCGGACTACGCTTTTCGGCAATTTGGGTCGATGATATTCCCGCAAACTGACTTTCCCAAGATCCCGGACCAAAGAATGGTTGGCGACCATATCCAATTGTTCCAAAAACTCCAATAGATTGGCCGAGGTGGTACCCACATTGTGTCGCGACGGTCTCCCCGTTCGTTCGGTTCCACCCGGTCCCATGAGAGAAGATGTGATGGTCCGTCCTTTACCAGGTCCCATGGCCAGGGTCCCCATGGCTTCCGTGACACGATTGGTTTTGTCCATGGCCATTTGAGCACGTTTCTTTTGACGTGCTTCAATCAGGGCTTCCATCTTTTCTCGATCCGCATGGAGGCTTCCGGCTTTATTGACATCGGCAGTGCTAGTTATTTCCTCCCGGGATCCTGATGACCACTCGAGCTCCATGCGCTTTTGATATTCTTTGGATTGGACTCCGGGCGGTGGACGCTGGGAAGGAAAGACATGCCTGGCAACAGATTGTCCGGCGACCCCCAGCTCCAACAACAGCGGTATAGGGTCTGGCTTTCGAGCGGCAGAGACTCCCTCCCAGTTGACAGTGGAGTTGTCAAATTGAAGCGTATCTAGCCAATGATTGCGTCGTTGCATGAGTAGTTTCATGGGATCCGTCGATTTGGTAGTCTTTTCCAGCGAGGACCCACCATTTTGGGTGGACGCGTTTCCATTGCTGCTGTTATTGTTGCCGTTTGTATTGCTAGTTGTCGTGGTATCATCTGCCAGGCCTTGCCATTCAATTTTCTTTTCCCAGTCTCCCATTTCCACTTCGTGCAACTTGGAATCTATTTTGCTGTCATCTTGCACTGTGAACATGAGAGGGGTTTCCGTTGGGCTGCTGCCCGTTAGTTCTTCCAGCAGTGCCTGAGTCCGATTGGCCAAGGAAGTTTTCCAGTTAATGTCCTTGTCTTCTTCATCTGCTTCGGCATGCTGTGCTTCTAATCGGCTGACAAAAGCTGGCGTGGTGGCTACCAATGTTCTCACTAGTTTGTTGGCTAGGGCGCTAAACTGCTGCTGTTCTTCGCCTTGGACCAGTTCCGAGTCCTCTCCATCTGCCGGCTCTGCCGATGCATCTTGAGCCGCCAAAATGGCCTTGTTGGTACTACTAGTAGTGTTGGCTGGGGTCCTCTCGTCCTTGACGAATTTTTCCTGGGGTATCATGCGAGTGACACGGGCCGGACGAGTGTCCTGCAAGTCTCGCGACAAGAGTTGCTCAAAATCCAAAGCTGGCGCCGAGGAAGGAGGCAACGCCATGGCGGCACTCGCTGCAGTGGGAGCAGGAGAGGTCGCCATGGTAGTTTGCGGTTGTCCTTCTAGCTACCGACTAGAAACTGTAGAAAGAAACAAGAGGCACGTCTATCTTCAGAAAGAAAGGAGGAGAGGGGTGGAAAGGGTCGGCTGTGTGTGATGCCGAGCTCGAGCTTTCGATCCAAACACGCCCTTTCTTTTTAAGGCTGTAGAGCTAATAGAAAATGGGAAGCTCTCGACGTTCTCACGTCTCGCGAGCTACGGCACAGTACCGTACGGATCCCGATACACGAAGTTGGGGAGTGAGTCAACCAAACTTGTTGGGATGGTTGGTCTTGTACAGCAGCTGCTGGAAGTGATCACCTTCTCGTCCTTATTAAATTTTCTTTTGTGCCCAACTACCGCTACAAGCTGCTTCCACGTTGAAACTTGGTGACAATTGTCATTCCTAGTGGACTTCCATTGTCCATATCTTCAATGGCACGGGCTCCCTCTTCTAACGTCACCTCCTTTTCTACCAACTTGCCAGGATCTAGTTTGCCACTCACCACCATTTCCAATAGGTCTGGTAGGTCCACAGCTGCAAATCCGTGAGACCCTACCAACTCCAGTTCCCGTCCAGCCACAAGACCCATCGGTACGACTGGCTTGACTTCACCAATGGGAAGTCCCACTTGAACCATGCGTCCTCCGCGTTTGGTGCAATACACGGCATTTTCACAAGTGGACGCAAAGCCGGCAGCATCCAAAGTTAGATCCGCGCCATGTCCCTTGGTGATTTCGAAAACCTTTTCTTGTACATCTACGTTGCTATTTTCCTTGCTTGCTGCTTGCACGGTGTGTGTGGCGCCCAGCTCCTTGGCCTTTTGCAACGCCAACGGGGAAACATCGATGGCAATGATTTTTCCCGCGTTGCCAGTGGCGGCCGCAATCATAATGCAAGACAATCCGAGTCCACCACACCCAAAAACAGCCACGGTGCTGTTGCTGCTCTTTTGGTCCAGCCGTCCCTGCTGCAAAACGGCTCGGTAGGCGGTTGTAAATCGACATCCCAATGCCGCTGCTTGCACAAAGGAAACAGACGCAGGTATCTTTCGAACGTTTCGATCTGCTCGTGGCAATGCCACATATTCCGCAAAGGATCCCCATTGAGTAAACCCTGGTTGCTGTTGGTCCGAACAAACGGTTGGCTTTCCCTCGTGACAGTACGAGCATTGTCCACAGCTCAAAATAAAGGGAACAGCTATTCGGTCGCCCACGGAAAAGTTGCAGACCTGCTCTCCCACCTTGTAAACAATTCCACTCAGTTCATGGCCAGGGCAAAAGGGCAATCCATGATTACGAACATCACCATCATGTCCCTTATAACCATGCCAATCACTGATAGTACCGCAGTGCAGTACAGTACAGTAGAGCAATCAATGTTGACCGATGGAAATGATGTAATAAAAGCCACAGCGTGGTAGTACGGTAGTATTTTGTAACCCTCTTACCTGCGACAAACACCAGTGGCCATAACTTGGACGATCAAACCATCCAGAGGCGTCGATGGCAAAGTTACGGTCTCGATCCGAATGGGGCCTCCGAAAGATCGATAGATCGCAGCACGCATCATCTTTAGTTCATGTTTGTTTTTTATGGTGCCAGTACTTCTTTCAGCTCTAGTTCTACTAGTAGATGCCTGCATTTCTTTCACTCTCTTGTGGTGCGGAGCTGCCGCTGCAATGGTCCTTCGACTTTTTGGGAGGACGCTTCGAGTCTTCTTTTCGTCGCGATGATTGGCTTTGGTGTGTCGGTGTGTCCACTGCGCGAGGACGAGGAGGATCTTGGATCGAGTTCGCTGTCTGGATATCCGTAGCTCTATCCTTAACGAAATGCGTCCAGGAAATAAAATTAAATGAGCCAGCTACTACTAAGTACCAGTACTGTAGGAGAAAATGATGTCAGAGCTTTTCAGAAAATGATGTAAGAGCTTTTCACCTTGTGAAATCTACATCATACGATTTTAGCAAAAAGTGACTGAACTAAGTAAGTTTACTCACAAACTGCCGAATCGCTAAAACACAGGCTTTACTCTGTGGTAACTTTTCGGTTGTTTGACTTTTTCATCCCCCTTGGGAATCATCAGTGCTTGGGCTATTGTGGTACTTATGAAATCGAGGTTTATGTCGGCATGCTCCGTATATTTCGTTGCAGGAGTTGATCAGCTTTTCTGGCGATTCTCTGGATCGTTTCAGTATCTCGAGTCGCTCCCTGTTGCATAGGCTGCAGTGTCGTGTCCCGAAGGTCTTGACAGTGCTGATGGGGTTGCCTTGCCATAGGATGCTAATTTCGATGCTGTTCCTTTGAATGTCGCCGTTAAGTCGGAATGGTGAAGGATGTGCGAAGTTTTGGAATTCGTTGGCGAAGTGTCTTGCGTATGAATCTGACTTGCGTTTTCCGTAGAGGAGACGCATGATGTCGGTGAAGTGTTGGTATGTTCGTTCTTTGACGTTTCGTTGGGTTGCCCCAATGTATTCCTTGCCTGAGTTTATGCATTTGATGCAGTATATGGCCAGTTTGTTTCTACAGCGGTCGTCAAATCGGCATTGGCCGTCTTTCTTAATTCCTGGCTTGCAGTTGCAGGTTTCATTTTGGAATTCGGTGGAGATGACGTCATTGGTGAGTTTCCTCGATAGGTCGCCCATGTGCAATACACGGCTCTTAGCCTTATTCGCGACTCGATCCTAGATAGGGTTTGAGTTCGACTCATGACTGAGTCTCTCGTGAATAGTCATTGAGACAGGGTTCTCAATGACCGCTCTAGTCATACTAGGTTGATGATGAAACATCGCTCTAGATATTTAGCAGCGTGGAGTACTTCCACGCTACTAGATAATGCTAGACGAATCTTCCACGCGTTCCGTTTTTGGATCGTGGAGTGAGTAGGATTGCTACCGCAACCTACTCTATCACACTCTAAGTCTCCGCGGGAGTTCAGATCTACGATCCTTTGATTGTGATCTCTCTCGTTGATTAGTTTTCATAGCTTTCTAATCCTTCTCATAACTTTCATTCTCTCAAACTCAAAACACTCGAAAGATCTTTACACTAGCTTTTAGCGTAGTGCATTTTGTTAACAAACACAATAGCTTTCAGCACTACCCTCAACCTATTCCTCACCTGAAGATTGCCAAAGACGCATACACAGCTTCGAGTCTAAGCTGCGCGACAAACCAATCCTTCCTCTCATCGACCTCGACGATATGCGAAATCGACGATTCTCGCTCTACCACTACAAACTTCGCACTGTTCCAGCAGATGCTAACAGGCCAAGTACACCTTCAAGGTCCAATCATCAATGGATCTGAAACTCCACTCAGACCATCAAGTGGGCTGACGCATGGAGAAGGTCTTCGTTGGCTCGCCATTGCTACCCCTACCGACAAACATAACCTCCTCAAGGAGATGACTTCTAGCTCTGGAAAGAGCAGTTACGAATCTAGCTTGCAGGCCACCGTGAAGTACGTTGGAATGCCTTGCGCCAGATTGCAGTCAACGATTCCTCCACGCGACATACGTGGCGGTGAAGACGAAGCCACTTTCCAAGCACGTTTCCAGGCTGCCTGGAACGGAGAGCTCAGCCTGCTTTGGACGATGCTTACATTACGTTTGGCATAAATGCCTGTGTCGAAGCGTCTGTCCCTACAAGGCTCTTGAAAAGCAGAAACGCTTCATGCGCCGAAGATGCGTAAGCCTGCTGATATTCTACTCGGGCTTATGTCAACAACCTCAGTCGGATGAACACCGATGAACTTCCTCGTCTACCACCTTTTGGACCCAACCAAACGTTGAACCATGACGAAGTCATTGACATTGTTTTTCATGGAATTCCACGCTCGTGGATGAAGAAGATGGACGGACACGACTTCGATCCTTTCTCAGCTTCTATCGGAGAAACCATTGATTCTGCGAACGCATGGAATCCTCCGAAGACTTTGACAAGGGCGGTGATGCCAAGCAAACTCCTACGAAGGAGAACAACAGCAAGAAGTACAAGTCTACTCGCAACAAGACCACTTCTTCAAGAACGAAGAAAAATGGTGACTACCACGAGTCCAGCACTTCACAACACTGCTGACTGCATGACTTTGAAGAAGCTCAAGGCCAATCTCAGTCCTCGTCTGACAACGATAACAAGCCAGCGTACAACAAGAACAAGACTTGGAAACGCAAGTCCGACGACGCCAAGCCTACACAAGAAGGAACTCTCTGTCTCATGAAGAAAGTTTCCAACGCTGCGGTCAAGGCTGATCGCAAGAAGAAAAGCGAATGCAACCATGTTGCCAAGCGGAAGTCAGAAACTCCGACAAAGAGGACGACTCCTCTTGTTGGATCCATCAACATGATGTGACAAGAAATGGCTGCTTGACAAGGCGCTTGCCGGATTCGACTTCAATCATTCGGATGGAGAGATCTCCGTCTTTATTTATGAGG